CAAGGACTTATTTGTTCCAAAAAAAAGTTCAAGGACTTAATCATTTCAAACAAGAAAGTTCATTGGTTTTTATTGTACTTTTCCCATTAATTTTTGATTGAAGATGAAAAACACGTTTTTTATTAACATTTTATTTTATTATAAAGTAGTAATTATTTATATTTATTAAAATTAGTATTAAATTTTAAAAGAGTTTTTAAATAATTCATTTAAAATAAAAAACATTTTTTTAAATAGAGAGAATAATGTTCTGTTTAATATTTTGCTCTAACTGTTTTTTCATATTGTTCTTTAATCTAGATAAAACTGAAGAAAATTTTAACTGTTATTATATTTTATAACGTTTTCTTATTAGGCATCCACTAAAATACAGTTTGTAACATAATTTCTAAAGTGTCGAAACATCATAAAACATGACACAGAACAATTTCTTATTATGAAATTGTACGCTGCAATTTATTATATTATTCATTACCATATTGGTAAAAAAATACTAATGTGACATTAACAATTAACAAAAACCAATTTCTTAATTAAAATTATATTCATAACTGTCATAATTTATTAATAAGAAATCTTATACAACAAGTAGAAATTCATTAAAAAACTTGTAATAAGATTATAAAATTATAAAATAATATAACTAATATTAAAATAATTTAAAAAAAATTAATATTGAAATATTTAAAATATGAAATCCGTTACAATTAAATATTATTTAAAAAAATAACTATTATGGAGTGTTTGAGATTGCTTGTTTGAAACAACTTATGCTTTTATATAAAAGTCATTATCAATTTATTATAAGTAAAAATGATTTAACTTTTTCAAAAACTCCTTATTACTGGTTTGACACCAGTATAAATTGTTTATCCAAACACTCAAAAATACCTATTATCGATACCACATCGAAATAAATTAATAAGTTGTTTTTATAAGCAATCCAAAACACCCTTTTGTTATCACTTCAAAGAGATTATAAATAATATATTCTTGATTGATAAACCATATTTTCTTTCCAAAAACCCTAAAGAGAGAGAAAAGAACTCATTCGTAGAAAGAAAGCGACTAAACAAGCAAACAAAGCCAAGCCGAGCGTGGTCGACATGACCACCACCGCACACGGCACACACAACACAATCACCACCACTTCCCGATTGGGTGAGTTGTTGTTAACGTATTTCCCTCTCACCTTTCTTTGCATTGTTCCTACATACATTACAAAGTCGCTAAAAAAAAAGGGTATTTAACTTCTAATTCCATGGAATATTACCTCCCTCCCTAAATCCTATCTATGTGGCTGCAAACCCCTCTTCATATTTCCCAAAAACACACGATCTTTATCCGTTTTTCTGTCAATTCGTTCCATCCCACTTGGGGATTTTGTCAATTTCTTCTCTTTCCATTTCGTTTTTTTCTTACATGACTTGATTTCTGGTAAGAATTAGAATAAAGATAGCTATGCAGTCATCATCTTCTTCGTCTTCATCATCGTCGTCATCATCAACGGCGTCTGTAACTCTAGAAACCAATAATGCCATCAATTTTTTATCCAAATTGAGTAACTATGCATTTGATTCCAACTCTAACTGTTTGAGTTTAGATGGGTATTCTTCGATTGTCTCTAATTTTGTTCATTACGATAGAAAAGCTGGGGATTTTTGGTCTGGTGGTGGGAGAAGGAAATCATCGTCTAAAGTTGTGGCTTCTTTGAGTTCAGGAAGTAGAGGTGGTTCGAGTAGCATCAATAAGTTCTTCAATGAGTTTAATAAGTTTGTTAGGTTTCATTGCGACAGGATTCCTCTTGGGTTTGGTTCAATTAAGCTTAGTTCAGAGAATATTTGTGGATTAGGGGAAGGAAATGGTGGTGTTTTGGAGGATGAAACATTACCCTTGAGTGGTTTTGAGTCCAATGGCAAGAAAAAAGTGCTCATTTTGATGAGTGATACTGGTGGTGGTCACAGGGCTTCTGCTGAAGCAATCAAATGGGCTTTTAACGAAAAATTTGGCGATGAATATGAGGTTAATTTTCTTGGTATATTAGTTTTTGATTGCTATTAATGAGGGAAAATCTTGATGGGATGTGTCTTGATGCTTTATAAAATGTGTGTTTTCAGGTGTTTGTGACTGATCTATGGACCGATCACACTCCATGGCCGTTTAATCAATTGCCAAGAAGTTATAACTTTTTGGTTAAACATGGTTCTTTGTGGAGAATGACATATTATGCTTCGGCTCCTCGTGTGGTGCACCAATCAAATTTTGCTGCTACCTCCACATTTATAGCCCGGTGAAGCTTCTTGCCTTCTTTTTTGGCATACAAATTGGTTGCTTTTTTTATTTTTATTATTAACCTAGATATCCAACCCGCTATGCGAGCCGCCTAATCCCAAGGCGACCTACTGCATTGCGGGTAGCCCGGAGTCACCTGAACCTCCGTTGCCACAAGGGGATTTTTTCCTTGGATTTGAACCTGGGACCTCCAGGTACTTTTGACCTTTGGAGCCCAAGCTTAAACCAATCAGACACCACCCTTGTGGTTCAAATTGGTTGCTTTTTGATGTTGGTATGTTTAGATTAATGTAATAGAGATGGTATAGCTTCCCAAAGTATCCAAAGTGTTTTATCTTTAATATCTTGCTATTGTCTTTGAGAATTTGTGCACACTATATGAAGCAAATATACCTCTTTTCGTAGAATTATTATTATGTCTTGTGAATAGTAAGAAGAAGAAGAAGTTTGATAAAAGGATCGTGAACGTGTGCTTTGTTGTACAATCTAAATATGGTTCCGTGTTTAGCAGTATAAAACCAAACCAAACAAACCCAACATATCCTACTCGAAAGTGGGGTATGGGAGGCGTGGGATGTAAGCAGACCTGCCCTCTACCTCACTAAAAAATATATGGTATATAAAACATAGAGGTTTCCTACCCAAACTAGCTCTAGATATACAAGCTTCATTTGAAAAACTCAGTGTAAGTGTGTTGCTTGCTTATGTGTTTGTGTATGTGGAAAAAGGGTACCGAGTTCCTCTAGAGGGCACTCTACTTTAACTCAAATTTACCACATTACTGTCTTTGATATGTTCGTCCTTTTTGGTTACCATTTGGTCTGATGTTATGTTGCTGGTAAATAGCTTTTATTACCAAAGGGTCATTGGTCTAGCGGTATTCGGGTCACGGTAAATCCAAGCCTCCCTGGAGGTCAAGGGTTCCAACCTCACCAAAGGTGAGCAGTGTGCACGAGTATTTGCTGTATATAAATATCATTTACTTTAAAAAGTAGTTATTGTTATCTGTATGGTTTCAAGCTTAATCCATAGCTAGATTAGCTATCTTTAGAGGCCTCATACCAACAAATCAAAGCGGCCTTCTTATCATCATATTTCCATTTTACCCTTTACTCCATAGGGATTATAGTTGATTTCTGCGACTAATTTGCCTGTCATCTATACGCATTTTCACAGAGAGGTTGCGAAAGGTCTTATGAAGTACCAGCCAGATATTATCATCAGTGTACATCCTCTAATGCAACATGTACCTCTTCGCATCTTGAGGTCAAAGGGTCTTTTGGACAAGATTGTATTCACTACGGTGGTTACAGATTTAAGCACCTGCCATCCTACATGGTCTGTTCTGCACCTTGAATATATTACCCAAAAACATTGTTTTCTTTTCCGTTCACACTTCTACACAATTTGGTGGTCTTCACCGCAACTGACACTCTACCTTTTGGAGTAGAGGAGGTACATCCCACCCCCAGAGTCTGACCGTGCTTTCAAGTGGGATATACTGGGGGGTGAGATGTACGTTGAAACAACTGCTCTACACCCTCGGGGTAGCGAACAACTCTACGTACATCCCACCCCTCAAACCCTGCACTCAAGTGGGATATACTGGGGGTGGGATGTACATAAAAACAACCGCTCTACTCTTTAGGGTAGAAGCAAGACATGTGTACATCATACCCCTGACCCCACTTTTGGGTAGGGACATACTGGGCTCGTTTGGTTTGGTTTTATACTGTTTTGAATGTTAAAACTTGAGTCTTCGGCTTGTTGCTTATGTGATAGGTTTCATAAGCTTGTAACAAGATGCTATTGCCCTACAGAAGAGGTGGCAAAACGGGCCTTAAAGGCTGGTCTTCAGTCTTCTCAGATAAAAGTTTATGGCCTCCCTGTTCGACCGTCTTTTGTTAAGCCTATTCGTCCCAAGGTTGGAGTCTTTGTTGAAAAAATAGTACCCGCTATGAGTTTTCAGGTCAAACTTAATTATATTTATGTGTTTGAATAGGATGAATTGAGGAGGGAGCTTGGTATGGATGAAGATCTCCCGGCCGTGCTACTGATGGGCGGTGGGGAGGGGATGGGTCCCATTGAGGCTACAGCCAAGGCATTAGGGAATGCATTATTTGATGAAAATCTTGGCGAGCCAATTGGTCAGGTACTTGTAATTTGTGGTCGCAACAAAAAGCTCGCCAACAAATTGCTTTCAACCGAGTGGAAGATTCCCATCCAGGTACTGCCATCATCATCATCATCATCATCATCATCATCATCATCATCATCATCATCTCAATGATAATTCATCATCATCATCATCATCATCATCATCATCATAATGGGATACAATCACATGCTCATATACTAAAACACATGCCTTGTTCTAAAGCAATGGAGCCTTATGTCCTTGGATTTCAGGTGAAGGGGTTCGTCACGAAGATGGAAGAATGCATGGGTGCTTGTGATTGTATTATTACCAAGGTAAAACATGTTCTTTATTCGCTCCATTCGTCCCAAAGAAACATATCACTTTTAACTCTTACGAGATTTAAACCTAGTACTTTCCAAATTCAAATTTGAAACCGTTTTTTTATCCCCAAAACAGTCGACTGTAAATTTGTAATACTCCCTGTGTTCGGGATGTCCCAAAATTAGTGTTTAAAAAGGCGCGATATGGCGCAAGACGTGTCTCCGCCATTATGATAAGGCCTATAGCGTTTCTGTAAGGTGCGGCTCACACCATGGCGTCTCAAGGCGCCCCACGGTGTGCGTTTTTTTTACAAGGCATGGTTTTTTTCAAAAAGAAAATATTATTTTTTTAGTTTTTATATTTATTTGTTAATTGTGGTTTTACCTTTTTAACTTTAGATTTTACACTTTTATAGATTTATCTAGTCACATTATTCAGTTTCACGAATTCATACACGGCTCACACTCATGAGTAGAACGAAGTTGTAATGACATATAAATTTGCCTGTTTTATGTCACACCTTGAAAAACGCCACCTCCTCGCCGCTGCGTGTAAGGCTTGACCTTGACGTCTCACGCCATTTTGAACCTTGCCCAAAATAAATGCAACATTTTCTTTTTTTGCAATGTGTCAACCCAATCTTACGTTTTCTTTTCATTATCATTACAAAATAGTTGTAACATTGATCTCGGTTCACAAGATTCACTCAGTCAGTCAGTTGTCAATCATGTTCGATTAATAGTAAGACACTTCGATTCACTCAAACCTTGCATCTATTCTGGGACGGAACGGAGGAAGTTCATTTTTTATGTCGTTATCACTTCTTTCTACACAAATAAACTGGTTCTATATTTGACACTTAAAAAGTCAAATGCCACATTTGTCTGATAGAGACTTGTTTATTTCTGGTAGGCTGGTCCGGGAACCATTGCAGAAGCTATGATCCGAGGACTCCCCATAATTCTAAACGATTACATTGCTGGGCAGGTAATTTTGTTTTTGGAGTCGGTTTTCGTTCTTCAGATGTTTCTATCTTCTTTTATTGCATACTCATTCGTCAAACTTAATTTGGAATTAATAAATAACATATCGATGTTATCACCGAAAAGAGTGCCAAAAAGACTTTATAAAATGAACACATAGAAAATTGTTAATATAGAAACGATAACATGGTACTCCCTCTGGCCTAAAATATACGTGCACGATGAAAAAGGCACACAGTTTTAGAAATGTGTAATGATTACACTTTTGAATCAACTAAATGACAGTTTTACCTTAATAATACTGGGAGTGACGAATTTCTCCATCTCATAATTAAGAGTAGAATCGAAAAGAAGACACTTTTGAAAGTGGACACTTGTTTTGGGACAAACTGAAATAGAAATATGGACGCTTTATATTAGGATGGAGGGAGTATTGTTTCCTTTTAAAATTTGTTTTGCAAGCTTAGGGTCTTCACGGAAATAGTCTATGTTTATAAACAGACATTGATTCTTGCTCATTCAGATATATGATGCCCGTCATATCTGCTACAGGGTTTCTGCTTTAAGAAATTGATTTATACCGTTTCTAACTTTTAGCGGGTTTCTATTTGATTTGTGGACTATATATATATATATATATATATATATATATATCACTGTTTCCTAGGATAGAGGCCAGGTCTGTGTACATCCTACCCCCAGACCCCACCCCACCTCCGAGTAGGATATATTGAGTTAGGGGCAGATCAGTTGTTTTTCTTTCAAGTCTTGTATGGATTAAGCTAATTGTTGTTTGTTTGTTGAACCGAATACACAGTTTGAATGACATAATGACTATTTTGCCCCTCAATCTAGATTAAACAGTGGTTTGGTTTATTAACTGGTACATACTCCTTGGCAATAGAATGGTCATAGGGTCGTGTCACGAACCCTAACTGTTGCAAAACCGAGTAGCCTTGATGCACCAGGGTCATCTTTTGGGGTATATAGTATTTATATAGAGCAAAACTCACACACGCTCAGCTTTTGTGAGCCATGACCTCCAGGGAGGTTGGAATCTACCTGTAACCCGGGTGCCACTTGGGTCATCTTTATGTCACTTATGGCTCCATTCTTGTTCTGCAGGAAGTTGGGAATGTACCATACGTGGTGGAAAACGGATGTGGGAAATTTTCAAAGTCGCCAAAAGAGATTGCGCATATCGTTGGCCAATGGTTTGGTCCAAGAGCACACGAGCTCCAGGCTATGTCACAAAACGCATTGAGGCTGGCAAGGCCCGATTCGGTGTTCAAAATCGTTCAAGATCTTCATGAGCTTGTGAAGCAAAGAAGTCTAATTATGCAGTATTCTACTGCAACTTAGGTGAGAGAGTTATTGTGAAGCTACTTGTGTAACAAAAAAACAATTTTGACTTCTGTTGTAGCAAGTTATGCTTTAAAGGGGATTTCACATTGTTTTGCACAAAAGGGTATCATAAACATTCAAAATGCATATCTTAAAACATGTTTTCCGCATTATATCGTTATATTATGCAAGATTTGAGTGACGGTTCTTGGTTATTTGGTTTTTTATATAACTTGTAAACTGTTTTAGCAAGATCATCCAGATACTACTGTTTTAGCAAGATCATCCAGATACTACTGTTTTAGCAAGATCATCCAGATACTACTGTTTTAGCAGGTTTTCATTCTGTACATGTCAAATCATGAATTTGTAACTACATCCAACTTCTAAAAATATCCGAATTTTTTCCAATTCCGGAATGGAATATTTATGGAATCTCCATATCCCTCGACTCAGTTCAATGGAATCTTTTATTCACGTTTTTTTTCCTTACCAAGAACGTTTTTGTTAACAAATCAAACAAGCCAGTAAATCTCATGTAAAGACAGAATACTAGAAGGATAAGATATGCACAAACTTTATCTTTATCTGGTATAGAGGGTGTTTCACTTTTCAGTTCAAGATCTCTTTCCCAAATAGAATCAAGTACACGATGTTTGGTCTAAGGTTAACTCACCTTGTATACACCCTTGGCTGAGATGAAAATCTTGATGGTTAGTTATAATGTAACGGACCAATTTTATATAAAATAAATTATTTGGGGTTAATAGTGTAAAAAACTTAATGAAAGGGAGAAACGTGAACATTGAGCATTAGTTGAGGGGCCTTGACTGAATTTACTAATCTATGGATATGAACTGAAAATATTAGTAAACGAAACGCCGGTGGGCCACCGGTGGAAGTAGTAGTGCAGAAAGCCATCATCTACGACCCGCAAAAATAAGTTCGTCTGTTGAAATCGTTCTCTCTGTTCTTACGAATTTCAATACTATTTTCTGTTAAACCGAGCCTTGAATCGATGATTTCGAGTACTTGTAGCGGTTGTTCTTGTAAGCCGTTGTTGATTTCGACAAAATCATTAGTTGTGGGAAGGTATCATCATCATCATCTTCATGGGGGTGTAAGTCTGATTAGAAAAGGGAGGAACAGCGGAGGAATTTGTATTGTGAGAGCTTCAATGGTGGAGTCTTCCGCCGAGAACTCCTCCAATTTCCTGAAGCGTATGGAACAAGCTTGGTTAATCTCTCAGGTATAGAGATTGAAATAATATTTTAGGGTTTCTGTTGTTCGTTCGTGTTTTTTCTCAATGATTTCTCGATCAAATTACAAGTTTTGCTTCAGTACGTATGAGCTGTTCATATGTTATGCTTAATTGTTAACCATTTCATTTTTCCTTAAATTCATCGAGGGTAGATTGAGATGGTTTCCTTAGACATTTTGGAGGACATGACCACTGAAGTTGTTGGAGACACATGATCAGGATAGTAGACTATGTGTAGGGACCTATAAACGCCTAGAATGGGAGGATGGGAGATTGGAAGGATAAAAGCCAATAGATAAGTTTTCAGAGCATTGAGAGAGATTGAGGGGTGTTTGTTTGTCATACTGTTTTGATATGATCCTATTTGGGTAAAAAGTTGATTACCCCAACCTGCCAGAAACCCGCCTCCAGGTCACCAATATGAAGGGGCATTTTTTGGTTCATTCAAAAGCTGAGGCTGGGATTGAACCCAGGACCTGTTATGTATTTGGGCAAAGTCACCCCATCCTTTTGCCAACTGAGCTAAATGCCAGAGGCGAAATTATCCTATTCTTTTTGTACTTGTGTAACATTGTTGCTGTTTAGTGTTTACTGTTGTCTAATTATGGGGTTTTTTTTTTTTCAAAAGCACTTCGTCACCTTTTGGTCTCAAGTTCCTCCATACTTTTCAAGTTCTTCTAATTGTTTTTTACAAACTTTGTAAAGTTCAATCATCCTTCCCCTGTCTGTCGGGCCATGTTCGGGTTACACCATTAAGTCCCTTAGTTAGTTTGTTCAGGTGGACATTAGTCACTTCGGACCTAGACTCTTGTCTATAGTTGTTTTGTTCATCTTGAGCAGGGCTTTCTGTCAGGACTGCAATTGGCTAGTTATTTTTTTTTTTGGACTCAAATCATTAGCGACTTTTTATTCTAATTTTCTCACCCGTGTAGGCATGTCAGGTACATTTCTCAAGACGGTTGTAGGTGTGGTTTTAAGCCTTTTTACCATTTTCACTCTGACTTCTTGTCATCTGTAATTTCTTCTTCTTGCCTTTCAGTGATTGTTTCCGGAGTTGTTCAATATTCATTTTAATCCTTTTTTGCTTTTCTACTAATTCTCAAAAATGGGTTAAGATGATATTTCCTTACCACTGAGAAGGCACATGAGAGGAAGATGGAGGTGGTAGAAATGAGGATACTCAGATGGACCTATGGCCTAACCAATGCTAGATTCGATACTGGATGAGGTGTACTGATCAGAGTTGGGAGTAACACCTATCACGAATAAAATGAGTGAGGGAAGACTGTGGGGGCATGGACATGTTCGTAAGAGACAGATATCGGCACCGTTGAGGAGGGTGGAAAGCATCCTGTTGAGGGGTTGATGAGGATGGCAATGCCGAAGAGGACGTGGGACGAGCAACTTAGATTATACATGATGGCTTTATGTGTTTTTAAAGACATCACCTCAAATAAGAATTCGTAGAGACGAGGACTAAGGTAGGAGATTGGGTGTAAGGACTTATAGGTAATGGGACGGAATGGAGATGTAGAGGGTGTATTGGGAGGATATGAGAGTCGACAACTAAGCATCCGAGCCCCAGGATTGAAGAGTTTGAACCCTGAGGTGGGAAGGGCGTCTGTGCGGACGCAACACTTCGGTACACTTACCTGCCCTTTCCTCTTTAGTTAGTTTAGTGGGTTTATTCCTTCCCGCAGGCCTTTAATGTTCTTTGTTTTTGTTTCTCGTTACTTGTTCTTAAACTCTTCCAAACTTCTTTTAGTCCACTTTTCTATTTTATCTCAAACTTTTGTCAATCTTTCGGGAACGAAATTTCTACACAGTTATTTTCTTTCAAAAACCTTCTACAAGTTGGGGATCTTCAAGGCAACAACCTCTCAACTCCTTTGGGGTAGAGGTAAGGTCTGCATACATCCTACCCTTCCTAGACCCTACTCTGTGTGGAATTTACTATGTTAGTTTGGTTTGGTTTGTGTAAAAGCCCCCGAGCGTACAAGACGATGGATTCCCCCACCAAGTATTTGTCTTTCGATCCTCATAATCCATATCTTGCAACTGCCCTCCAATGTGCTCAAAATAGTTGTGGTTGAAATGTTGTGTCAAGCCATCGTACAAATCCCTTTGTTCCAATTTACAGCGTTTTCTTTTGTTTTTCCCTCGAGCCGTTGTATAAATCCCGTTGTTTTTCCCTCGAGACGGTCCATACAAGCGCCTGTTGTTGTAGGGTGAGTTTGAACTGAGATAGCTTGGAGGATATTTTCTGCTATTTGTGTCGATGAAGTAGGTATACGCTCTTTTCGTTTTTAGATTTTTTCATAGTTTATGCTTTGTTATGAATGGGTTTCCACTCTCTGCCTCAAATATGTGTATGGTGTTTTTGTAGGGATTGATGTGTTGGCATTCATGTACATAGACAACCCTAACCATATGTCCATAGGGTAGAGGTTAGCTGTGAAAGAAAGAGCCCACAGGTTTAGGTTCGGCCTCAATGGGGCTGTTTTTTGTGAAGACCCCTGCCTTTTTAGAAAGTGAGTGAAAACTTAAGAACTAATACTACTAACAGTAAGACTACAACGCAGGACTCTGATAATATATCTTCCAGCTCTATAACCCTCTCCCTTTCCCTCTCCAACTTCCTTCTTCCGGTCTATGCTAGCTACAGGTCCTACACCTAGTCTGTTGCCCTATGAACATGTCTCCAAGAACTTTGTCAAAGGTCATGCTCTCAGAAATGTCTAAGGCCATCATGCTTATCCCCAACTACTTATCCCATGTCCTCTTCGGCCTGTCCTTCCTCCCTCGGCCATCACGCTTTCTACTATCCTCATCGGTGTCGCTTTCAGTCTCCTGCGATGTGTCCAAACCATTTTAATCTTCGCTTCCTCAATTTATCTGTGATTGGCGCATTTCCCAACTCCACCAGAAATACCTCGTTTAATTTGCTATATAACATAGTCCGAAGACTGGTTCATATAAGCTCCATTCTCATCACTGCAACTTCCTCTCATGGGCCTTCCTTGTTGCCTAACACCCCGACCCATTCAACATAGTTGGTCTAATGGCTATATTATAGAACTTGCCCTTCGGTTTTTAGCAGAACCTTCTTGTCACACAACACCCCGTGACAGCCTTGTACTTTAACTGCCTTAATGCGATGCATCGCATCATCCTCGACCTCTCCTTCTGGCTGAGTTACAGAGTCTAAATACTTGAAACTGTCCTTTTTTGGTAACTTTTGCCCCCCCCCCCCCCAAAAAAAATGTTGACTCATTCACCTTATCAGTGCGCTTCTTGCTATGCACCATATGTACTATGTCTTAAGAGTGAGTAACATGCAAGCCTTGTGTTTCCAAAGTTGTCTTCCCCTGCTCCAATCTCTCATTGACCTCTACCTTCGACTTCGCTACCAGCAAAATGCCATCAGCAAATAACATACACCATGGGACCCTCCTTGGATCCCTGGGGAGATCTCATCCAAAATCGCAGCTAATAGGAATGGGACTAGCACCAATCCCTAGTGTTTCCCCTCCACTAGGAAATACTCCATCCCAACCACTGGTGTCCTGACTCCTGATACAAGCCTTCGTTGGCCCACACATGACCAGTATCGCCTTGACATACCTTCATGGTACCCCCCTTTCTCCGGGCATCTCCAAATCACATCTTGTGGTAGGGTATCACAGACTTTCTCCATGTGTATCAACACCATGTGCAAGTCTTGCTGCCCTCTCTATACTTCATGAGTGCATGAGGTGTCTGAGGAGAAGGATTGCCTCAATCGTCGACCTCCCTAGCATGAAGCCAAATTGGTTCTCCATACCTTCATTTTGCACTGCTTCCTAGCCTCAATCACCTTCCTTAATTTCACCGTGTGACTAAATAGCTTTATACCACAATAGTTGTCACAGCATTGTGGTCTCTTTTGTTCTTTAGAGTGCATTCTTCCGGTATATTGTCAGTCTTGAGGTGACGTTGAAAATCAATCAGCCACTTGGCACCCTCCTCCCCCTGACATAGCCACACCTCAATATTATAAGTTTTTTTTTTTTTTATTATTGTTCTTAGCTTCTGATTGTGATGTCTAACCGTTTATGGATGCAGAAGGTAAGTACTTTTGGTGATTATTTTTTTATGAGCTTAGATACTATGGTGATGTTTTTGTTCCATAGTTTTTTAACAATACCAATTAAACCCGCCCACCTAATATGTTTGAGATGCACCTGTTCTGATTCTTCTTAATCTTTTATCCATTCTAGCTTTTGAGTAATCTTACCTTTAAAGCACTAGCTCACTGTTATTGGTTGAGAATTAAATTCTAAACATGTGCCGATCCATACGTAAGCATTCGTAGACTTGCTGTCTTAAATTGATGACATACTATGATCCTTACCAAATACTTCGTTTTTGGTAAAATGGTAAATCACCATACTCACTCTTCTTTCTAGGTTTATCTTCTTGGAAGTTACGGGCAAATGTAGCTCTACAAGTACCCAGGCCGAATAAGGAATTTCCACTGTCAGACTGACCACCTGAAGCTTAACTAGATATGGCATTTTTGCAACCGGCTGCATAATTTTATTTTTATAAAGTGGTACTCTAGCACCAAAGCTGGGAAGAAATGACTCAGACTTCCTTATTTGTCCAAAACGTGGATTTAGTCTACAAGTAAATGTTATCAAGGATATTATCTGGTGTGTTTATCCAGAAAAAAAAGATTTTATATGGTGAAGCATATTGAAAATGAATTTATGATTATATGGATCTAAGTAACTTTGTCTTTTTTGTGTATTTTATATCTTTGTTGGCACCACAGCCTTCTAAATATTCTGGGTGACAATTGTTGCAGCAACCAAGGCCAGTTGCTTGCTCTTCTTGTGATTCCAATGGGCATGTCGAGTGCAAATGGTGTGGTGGCACAGGATTTTTCATTCTTGGTGATAACATGCTATGTCAAGTACCATCCAGAAACACGAGCTGCGTTATTTGTGCTGGAAAGGTGAACTTAAGTCAGCATTCCTTTTAAGGCTATCTAGAACCTTACACCATGAATATAATTAGCTTCTTATGGTTTCAACTTAATTAGCTTCTTTGTAATGGATTGTGGAAAAAGGGTTTGCGGCCCCACCATACTGGTCCCACGGCCATCATGGAGGAGGTAAATGGCGATGTTCTAGGGGAAGGGTGGGTGGGGTCGCTTTTGAACCCTAGACCTTGTTGTAGAAAGTCCACCCCTCTTCCGTTGGGAAAAAAATTGTAAATCATGTGAACCAAATAGCAAAATACCCGAAAAACCATGATGTCTGTACTGCATCTTTTGAGGTCAAGTCTATTGCTTTTCAATTTCCATAGCCAAATCACAATAACCCAGTTCCTGTTGGTAGGATTTTTTTATAAAATGCAATGTTAATTTTATAGTTGAAATTATTATAATTGACCTCATAACCAAACGGTCTCCATTTATTCGTTTGGGGGAGGATCGATTCAAGATTGCTGACAAGCTGTATGTTTGTATCAGGGAGCAACTTCTTGTGCCAACTGTAAGGGAACTGGATTTCGTGCAAAATGGTTGGAACAGCCCCCAATCCAGTAGTGGTTC